GTTATTTGAATTATTCCTAAATCACACCCATCAACTCGAAAGTCAATGTTTTTACCTTGTTTTAGAAACATTGTATAAAATTATAGAAAAATCGTATAAAAGTGAGTCTAGTGACATTTGAAAGGTATTAATGTTTAGATTATTTTATATGAAGACATCATGATATATTTAGAGCTTTAAGATGGGTAAAATGTGCACTTTGTACAGTGCTGTCAAACTGAATCTTGACAGCCTGTAGCTGCTGTGTTGCAAAATTCATATAAAATCAAAGAGAACTCCTGTTGATATGAGGTCAGTTCCATTTGAAAGATAATTGAGTCTAGTTTAGTTCATCTTTAGAAGTCACTGAGTAATTTTGAGGTTAAGTGGGGTAAAACAGAGCTAGAATACAGTGCTGTAATAAGAAAATTTAAATACGAAAGTAAATCATAATTACACCAAAATATTTGATCACTAAAATCACAAACATATCTGTCACATATCGTTTTTCAATGTAATTTCACCAACATATCCGGTAAGCATTAACTATGGTAAGAGTCGGGTATTCAATATTTGGCTATTTTGGATTTGACCCTAATTATTCAACTTTAGTTGGGTATTCAATATTTGGCTAGTTTGGATTTCGTCCAGTATTTGAATTTGCATTCGAATGTTTGTTTGAACATGGTTTTCATTAATGCTTACATCATAGTTTTAGTTCAATGTAGAATTTTCTGAGATTGGTTGGAACACTACAAATGCTTTTGCCCAACACCACCACCGGTACTTAAGATAGCTTCCACAAACTCTCTGGCTGCTATTCCGTTCAGACTGTTCCAGGTATTTCTAAACTCAAAACCTACTTACATTACTTTGGATTAGAGATGGCCAAAATCCGGTCTCGGGCCGGTCCTTGATCGGTCTCTACCGGTCCTAATCAAGACAAAAATCCGGCGGTAACCGGTCCTGCCATAACCGGTCCCAGTCCCGGTTCCGGTGAAATACCTTGTAACCGGTCAAGCTTACCGGTAACCGGTTAAGGAATCCGGTCCCGGTTCCGGTCCCATAACAAGTCCCATCTGATCCCGGCCAAAAAAAATTTTTAAAATTTTTGTTTATTAATAAATTTTTAATATGTTATTAATATGTTTGTAATATGTTATTTTTAATATGTTTTATACAAATACGTTTTATTATAAATACGTTTTATTATAAATATGTTTAAAAATATGTTTTGTTATATATATATGTATATATATACGTTTAATTTTATAAATACCTTTTGTTATATATATATACACGTTGACTTTTGTTGATCGGATCGGACCGGGCCGGTCCTATAACCGATTACATAACCGGTTCCGGTCTTAACTGGTCTCGGTCCTAAAAAACGTTAAAATCCATAACCGGTTCATAACCGGCGGTCTACAACCGGTCCATACTGGTCCCGGTTCCGATACTCCGGCGATTACGCGTCAGGCCGGGCCCATTTGGCCATCTCTACTTATACATCGGTAACGCCTCTAAAAAACTACTTACATTACGTTTGCATTACCTTCCATAGATCTCAGATTCCTCTTCAAATCCTCGTAATTGACCTTCCCCAGATCTCGATTTGACTGTAATTCAGGGGGCCTGTCTACGAACCGGTAATATAGTTTGTTTTTGCACTAAACACCTCTGGATCTGATCGAGCTCTCTCACG